TTGTTGTTTCATCCACAGAATTTGAGCACAACAACTACCAGCTGCAATATATTCAGCTTCAGTGGTAGATAAAGCAACACATGCCTGTTTCTTAGAATGCCAAGATACTAAGGATGAACCTAACAAATGACATGTCCCACTAGTACTCTTTCTATCAATTTTGCATCCACCATAATCAGCATAAGAATATCCTATTAAACTAGTACAAGCATCAGATGGATACCATAAACCAAAACCAGAAGTTCCTTTTAAATATTTTAAAATATGTTTTACTGCAATTAGGTGAGATTCTTTTGGACAAGCCTGAAATCTAGCACACACACAAACAAAATGCATAATATCAGGTCTACTTGCAGTTAAGTATAACAGTGAACCTATCATACCTCTATACATAGATTGATTAATTTCCAAACCTGATTCATCCTTGTCTAAATAGCATGAAGTTCCCATGGGTGTGTTAGCTTCCTTTGAGGTGTCCATTCCAAACTTTTTAAGGATCTCTTTGCAGTATTTGGTTTGAGAGATGAAAATGCCATCTTTAAGTTGCTTGATTTGAAGTCCAAGGAAGAATGTCAATTCTCCCATCATAAACATTTCAAACTCTCCCTGAATTATCTTAGCAAATTCTACACATAACGAATTATCAGTTGATCCAAAAATAATATCATCAACATATACCTGGACCAATAAGATATGTTCTTTTACTTTCTTTATAAACAACGTAGAATCAATTTTTCCTCTAGAAAAATCATTTGAAGTTAGGAAACTACTTAGCCTTTCATACCAAGATCTAGGAGCTTATTTCAACCCATATAATGCTTTCTTTAATTTAAAAATATGATTAGGATAATTAAAATCTTCAAATCCAGGGGGTTGCTCCACATATACTTCTTCTTTAATAAAACCATTCAAAAATGCACTTTTAACATCCATTTGATATAATTTAAATTTCATCAAAGATGCATAAGCAAGAAGTAGGCGTATAGCCTCTAACCTGGCAACAGGAGCATAAGTTTCATCATAATCTATACCTTCCTCCTGACAATAGCCTTTGGCAACAAGTCTGGCTTTATTCTTTGTTATGTTTCCATCTTCATCAAGTTTATTTCTAAACACCCATTTGGTTCCAATAACTTGATGTGATTCTTCTCTTGGGATTAATTCCCAGACTTGATTCCTTTCAAATTGGTTAAGTTCTTCTTGCATGGCTATGCACCATTGGTCATCTTTAAGTGCTTCCTCGACATTTTTGGGTTCTATCTGTGACACAAAAGCTACAGACATACAGAAATTAGTCATATTTCTAGTTCTTACCCCTTTTGAGATGTCACCTATGATATTGTCCATTGAGAGTCCTCTAGGTGATTGCCATTCTTTTGCTAATTCAGGCGTTTGTGAAGGCTCATTTTCTTCTAAATACAATTCATCAAGAGCCTCTCTTATATACTCATCATCACCTGCAAGTTCTTTATTTGACTCAAGAGGATTTCCCCTAAGGTCTACAATTTCATCAAATGTAACATGAATAGATTCTTCAATATTTAAGGTTCTTCTATTAAACACCCTGTAAGCCTAGCTAGTTAATGAATAACCTAAGAAAATGCCCTCATATGCTTTTGAGTCAAATTTTCCTAAGTTGTCCTTTCCATTATTTAACACAAAGCACTTACATCCAAATATTTTTAAATGAGCAACATTAGGCTTTCTACCATTTAACAATTCATAAGGAGTTGATTTTATAATTAACCTAATGAGCATTCTATTTAAAACATAACAAGCAGTACTAACCGCATCAGCCCAAAAATATTTAGGAACATTAGATTCATTTAACATTGTTCTAGCAAGTTCCTCTAATGACCTATTTTTCCTTTCAACTACACCATTTTGTTGGGGAGTCCTAGGAGCAGAAAAGTTATGTAATATTCCATTTTCTTCACAATAACTTTCAAACTTTTCATTTTGAAACTCACCACCATGGTCACTTCTTAAAACATTAATTCTTAAGTCTTTCTCATTTTGAATTTGTTTTGCAAATTTTCTAAAGACCTTAAAGGCTTCACTTTTCATAGTTAGGAAAAATGTCCAAGTATATCTAGAGTAATCATCAACAATCACAAGGTCATAATAATTTCTACCAAAGCTTTTTATCCTAGAAGGTCCAAATAAATCTAAATGTAATAATTCTAGGGGTTTTGAAGTGGAAATGACATTTTTTTATTTAAATGATGATTTTACTTGTTTACCTTTTTGACATGCATCACACAATCTATCTTTTTCAAATTTTAACTTAAGCAAACCAATAACTAAGTCTTTTGAAATCAATTTGTTCAAATGATGCATATTTATATGAGCCGCTCTCTTATGCCATAACCAAGGCTTCTCTTCCTTAGCAACTAAACATGTTATACTAGAATCATGTAAACAATCCAAATCAATCAAGTATATGTTATTATGCCTAATGCCTTTTAATTCTACATTTTCGGAATCTATCAAATGTATGGTGCAAAATTTACTTTCAAATATTACCTTAAATCCTTTGTCACATAGTTGACTTATGCTAATGAGATTATGCTTTAGTCCATCAACAAGAAGCACATCCTTAATCTCCAAGGTGTTTGCACCACCTATATTTCCAATTCCAAGAATTTTCCCTTTGTTGTTGTCCCCATAAGTTACATATCCTTGTTCTTTAGCTTTGAAACTCACAAATTTCGTTTTATCACCGATCATATGCTTTGAGCATCCACTATCAAGATACCACATAGACTTCTTAGATTTGGAAGTTTCCTACAAAACAAGAACATAGTAAACTTAGGTCCCCATAACTTTTTGGGTCCTTGGGGTTAGAGACATAACAAATTATTTAACAATAGGAACCCAAATGTATTTACCTTTAGGAACACCAAAATGTTTTATTTTACATTTATTTGAAGTATGACCATTTTTCATACAATAAAAACATGCTTTAGATGTAACTTTTGAATATGATGCATTTCTAACATTAGATGATTTAGTTCCTTTTTCAACCCATACTCTTCTCTTTTTCATTTTAGACTTTTTCAAAGGAACTTGATGGTTTACTCTATTTTGAGCTATAACAACTTTATCCTTATTATTATTACTTAATTCCTTTTCGGCTTTATCAAGCAAATGATTAAGTATATCAATGTCATATTCATACTCTTTACAAGATGCACATACTATATTCTTATCATCATTCTCATCTATGCATACAATTTTCGTTTATAAGGTTTCCTTTTCCTCTAAACATGCATTTTTCGTTTTTAATGACTCCTTTTCCTTTAAACATACAATTTTCGTTTTTAAGGACTCCACCTCCTTTTCGGATCTATTCAAACTCTTTTTCACATATTTGTATTCATTTTTCAAGTCCTTAAAAGCATTAAACAATTCTTCATATGCATTTTGTAATTCATCAAAATCATTTTCATCATCACTTGAGGATGAGTCAGAATCACTAACCTCAAAGTCGGAAGATATATTGTCTTTTGCTAACAAGCAAATGTTAGCTTCTATTTCTGAGTCACTTGATTCCGAAATCGAGTCACTATCATCGGTTCCTTCATAGGTTACTCTTAGTTTTTCCCACATCTCTTGAGCACTCTTACAAATGGATATTCTGTAAAACTCGTCAAGGGTTAAAGCAAATGAAATTATATTTCTAGCCCTAACGTCAAATTGTGATTTTCTGTTTTCCTCAGTTGTCCATCTAGAAAAAGGTTTGGGAACGTCAACACCGTTCTCAGTAACTTTAGGAATATATGGATCATTTAAAATAGCGTCCCAAACGCCTCTATCAACAGACTCTAAAAAGATTTGCATTCTTACTTTCTAGAAAGGATAATTTTGACGTGCAAAAAGTGGGGGTTTATTGATAGGCGCACCTTCGGCAAAAGTTTGATTTTGTCCGGCCATTTTCAAAAATTTTGAATGACTATCAAAGCAAGCTCTGATACCACTTGTTAGAATCGCGCAGCGGAATGTTCGCGTGGTCGGACAAAAACCAAGAGGGGGGGTGAATTGATTTCTTAACAAAAATTAGGTTTTCAAAATTTTTCCCAAATTTTACCGATTGAAAACTGTCTAAATGTAAATAGAGTAGAGATAGAATCTTACACAGGAGATTTATACTGGTTCGGATCAAAAGACCCTACGTCCAATTGCTAATCACTCAAACAGAGGATTAACATTGTCACTATGATCAAAGTTGTTACAAAAAAATTACAATGGAAAAGATAAAGTAAAGAAAACACCTCTCTTGAAATCCACAAGAGATGAAGAACAACTTTCCCTAGAGACGGCACAACACACAATCCACTAAGAACTCCACTTAGTGATTCTTATCGCTTCTAGCCCACACCAGGTTCCAAAAGCCCCTTTTTCTTGCAACAAACAGTTCTCTGACACTCACAACACTTAACTTTTGTATGAAAAAGGTTGTTCTTTTTTTCTGAGTGCCATAAAGAAGCTTAAGTAGAGAAATTAGGGTTTGGGAATTGGGATTTTCGAAACTAGGAGTCTTGGAATTAGGGTTTTTGAAAATAGGGTTGATTTGAAATTAAAAATCAAAATTTGACTGAAATAATCGATTAAATGAAGTGTTAATCGATTATTACAGAGCCAAAATCAACAGAACCCCAAAACTCTCTGTTTTAATCGATTAAAAGACCTGTTAATCGATTAACAGGCCTGTTAATCGATTAACAGGTGTGTTAATCGATTAAACCAGTGAGCAGATACAGAAAATGATTTTTCTCACTGTTTTAATCGATTATATCACCATTTAATCGATTAAAGTCGAGGCACTTTGATAAAATTGAGCTTTTTGAAGCTTCTAAGGTGCAAACTATGTACCGGCTATCTCAAACTCTAATATTACAGACTCAATCTAATCAAAACAGAGTTATTACACTATAAAACATGTCTTCAACTCTCTACGTTCTTGTGTTCTTGAATCATCATCAAAATCAACAAGTTTCATGTCCATCAAGTCTAACATCAAGTCCTTGAATGTTCAACACAACAAGGATGAATTTTACGTTACATATGGCATAAATGATAAGTCAATGATTTCAAGAATTGTGATGAATCAAACAGATCATGTTCGTAAGCGCTTGACGTGGGATGGTCACATGTGGAGGGCGTCTTCAATGTTGCCAAGTGATTTATGCGATGGGTATTATATATATATATATATATATATATATATATATATATATATATATATATATATATATATACACACACATGTTGCACGAATACAAATATTACAAAATATTAAATATTAATAATATCTTAATCATAATTGTCTAAATCAAAATAATAATATAATATATTTTTAGCTTCTCTCTTAAAAGATAATAAAATCTCTTAATACCTAATTTAAATAAAAAATAATAACGTAATATTCTCAACATTCCTCCTTACTTTAATATCTATTTATTTGAATTTGATAATTTTTCCTTTTTTTATTTTGTTTATAATTTTTCTTCCTTTTTTGTTTGTATTTCTTGTCATCTTCTTTCTTTTATGAGATCACATCTTCATTCAACTTCACTTTCTTCATCAAGATATTTCTTCCTTTATCAACTTCATCTCCTTTGTTTCTTTCAAACTTCTTTATGGTTTTCTTTATGGTAGTACCATTGACTATTTGATGGACGTTGAAAATGGTTTATTCATCTACATCTTTATTTTCCTCCTTAACATTAAGTTCCTTCAAGAAATCTTCTTCATGCTTTTTCTTTTACTTTTCTTTTATATCTTCATTTGTAATCAACTCTTCTTTCATCAAATCTAAAGTGAAACACTTTTTCTTCAATGTGAACTTTGAATATTTCCAAGTTATTTGTATCTTTAATAACACAAAGTTTGTGTTCAAAAGACACCTTATAGCTTTTCTCCAATAATTGAGCAATACTTAACAAATTATGATTAATATCAGGAACATATAAAACATCAAAAATCAATTTGATACTCGAATGACTATTAACTGCAATTGTTCTCGTACCTTTCACATCCATTTGTTCTCCATTACCGATTCTCACTTTAGAAATATGTGATTCGTTGAGCTCTTTGAAAAGTTCTCGATCATGAGTCATGTGGTTTGTACAACCACTGTCTATAAGTCAACCTGTGGATTTGTTGATTGTAGAGCAGGTTGATGCAAGACTTCCTCTGGTTGTGATTTGCATATCTTTTCTATATGTCCCAATTGACCACATTTGTGACATTTCATCTCCACCAACACTTGTTGGGTGTGTGATTATTTTTCTTGCAATAAGGACAAACAGAAAAGACTCGTGTACCTTTGTTATTCTTGGCTTGGACAGAACTCCCATTATGATATAATAAAAAACTTTCACCAACAACATTATCTCTTCTCATCAATCTTTGTTGCTCTTGCGCTTGTAAAGCATGTAACATTTCTGCCAAAGTTATATTAGACAAATTTTTTGTATTTTTCAATGAAGCAATAAATGCTTCATATCTCTCTGGCACAGTTACCATAATTTTTTCAACTATTCTGGAATTAGAAAATTCTTTGCCTAACAATTTTATTTTGTTAGCAATACCCAATAATTTGTTTGAGTATTCATTAATTATTTGACACTCTTGCATCTTTTGTATCTCAAATTCCTTTATCAAATTTAGAATTTTCATACCTTGAATTTTCTCCTCCCCTTCATATTGATCTTTCAAATAATCTCAAATTTCTTTAGGTGACTTTAGCGTCATGATTCTGGTGAGGATCATTTGTGAAACACCAACAAACAAACATGATTTAGCTTTTCTCTTCCTCGCTTTCTTTCTCTGTGAAATTTCATTTCAGTTATGGTGGGATTTTCAGGTAGTGGATCAACAATATTTCTTTCTCTGTGAAATTTCATTTCAGCTATGATGGGATTTTCAGATAGTGGATCAACAATATAATCTTCTTCTATAGCTTTCTATACATTCAATCCTTCAAAATAAGATTGCATTCTCACAGTCCATAAGTCATAACTTTCGCCATAAAAAAATGGAATAGCGACTTGTGAAAAATTTCTTTCTCTTTCTATTGTATCGAACCAAAGCTCAATACCAATTTGTTGGGAATTTTTAGGGTTTTGTGTATATGTGTATTTCTGATATATCATATATGAGTATATTTTTATTCATGTACTCTATGTATATATAAAGTAAAAATATTACAAAATATCAAATATTAATAATATCCCAGTCATAATTGTCTAAATTAAAATAATAATCTAATATCTTTTTACCTTCTCTCTTAAAAAATAATAAAATCTCTTAATACCTAATTTAAATAAAAGATATTAAAGTAATATTGTGAACCGTACCCATATGCTGATGTTTAGATGGATTCAAGCCAAAAGCACCCCAAAACTGGACCCAAATGAACTTTAATCAAGAGTGCGTGCAGAGCCAAACTTGGATTTGCAGGGAAAAGAATAAAGATAGTTTTCTCAGACTTAGTAACGTGAAGGCACCAGAAGCTACAATTTCATGGGTTAATGCAAGTATGAAACTTGGGGAATGCAAGAACAAATGCATGAAAAATTGCTCCTGCACAGCTTATGCAAATGCAGAAATAAGAAAAGGCAGTGGGTGTGCCATTTGGGTAGGTGATCTTCTAGATATAAGAATCATGCCAAATGCTGGACAAGATCTTTATATTAGATTGGCCGTGGCTGAAACAGGTATAAACTTCGATTTTTATTTTGCCCTGTTTGGAAATTGTTTTGTACGAGTATATATCCGTGTGTTGGAGAAGAAACAGAAGTTAAAATGAATTGATATTTTTAACTTAAAAAGTAATTTAGCTTTGAAAAAAGTTAGATGAGTAAATTTCTATAAAAAAAAAAATTAACTTTAGGATTTTTTTTTTCCTATTAGTGTTTATAAAATTTGTTCAAACACCAGATATTCATCATTAGGTAAGTTAAAATATGTTAATTCTGCTCAATATCCAATTTACTTCTTATATTGATTATATATTCTCTTGTCTCTGTCAAGTTCAAAAAAATCATGAAAAAGATAATTCAAAGAGAAAGGTAGTTGTGATTGTATGCACCATTTCCTCAGTTATTGTGATGCTATTGATCTTCATAGTCATTTATTTGAGTATCAAAACAAAAAAGAAAGGTACGCTTCCGTTTAACTCGAGTGTTTCCTTCTCATAAGTCTTTCATAATTTTGATCATTTACACTGTGTGGGTGAAATCAGAAATCCTCGCTAGATTCAAAGGAGTGAAAAATGAAAATCAACAAGGCTTTGAGCTACCTTTGTTTGACTTTGCCACAACAACATATGCAACAAATCACTTCTCAAATCACAATAAGCTTGGCGAAGGTGGTTTTGGGCCTGTATATAGGGTAAGTGAGCAATGTACTATCAGTAATTAACAAATGACCAAACTTAAAAATAGTATTCACTATATTTAACTCTTTTCTTCAAATGCATACAATGTGTTTAGGGAACACTACCAGATGGACGAGAGATCGTTGTTAAGAGGCTTTTACAAAAATCTAGACAAGGATTAAAAGAATTTAAGAATGAGGTTATGTTATGTGCGAAACTTCAACATCGAAATCTTGTTAAAGTTCTTGGATGTTGCATTCAGGATAATGAGAAATTACTTCTGTATGAATATATGGCCAACAAAAGCTTAGACTTCTTTCTTTTTGGTTAGAGTCTTTGCAGAAAATAATTTTAACTGAATGTAGAATTTCATTTTGTTCTTATAATTCTTGCAGTCACTACTGCAGAAAAGACTTTTTACGTCGGTTAAAATGGGTTTTCTACGTCGATTAAAGCGGCGACATAGATACGGGAGTCATAGAAAGTAAGTCTTTCTACGTCGGTTCCTAATAACCGACGTAGAAAGTAAGACTTTCTACGTCGGTTAGTCAGGGAACCGACGTAGAAAGACTTACTTTCTATGACCTATACTGATCGGTCATAACTGGTTCTGATCGGTCATAGAGCTATTCTGATCGATCATAACTGATTCTGACCTGTCATATTACTTTCTATGTCGGTTACCAATGATAACCGACATAGAAAGTCTTACTTTCTAACTTTCTATAACCCCAGTATCTATATCGGTTAACAATAACCGTGATTGTATGTGTTATCAATGTCGGTTATGCCTATAACCGACATAAAATGTTAAACTTTCTACGTCGGTTATGTCAATACCCGACGTAGAAAGTGTTATTTGTTTTACAGTATCTACATTTTCTTCACAGATGCTACCTTTCTTCGAGTAGACCTGCCTATTCATCACAGTTCCAGACAAATATTCACAGATCCAAACACTTGTACAGACAGATATGCACAGTTCATATATAGTTCCAGACAGATATGTACATATGAAACATATTGAAATCAATATATGTACCTCAGTTCCAGACAGTTCATTTACTTAAACGAATGTAAATTTGCTAACTTAAATCAATTCAATCAAAATTGTTACAATGTAAATTTGCTATGAAGATTGAATACTTAAAAGGAAAGAAGTCCACTGCTCTCTAATATCGTCTAACACTTCAATCTTCATTGGAGATGAGTCTGTAAATTCCTACATATTGAAACATTTCAGATTTAGAAACCATTTAATAATTGGCATATTTGACTTAATTATAGTATATTTACCTCCCTCCATGAGAAAATAATATTTTTGGCTACGATGGTGTGCATGTGCTTCATCACATAATACCCGCACTCATGGCTTCCCGGTTGGTGTGGACACTACAAGTTAAATAAATGTCAGATTAACTTTAAATGACAAATTGAACAACAGTAAGAGGTGTTGGGTAACTTTGGTGCAATATACGTCAACTTCTTTCTAGCATGAGATGGAAGGCCTTGCAACCTTAGGTGAGCTTTCAAAGCTCTACAAAAGGACAAATAATTTTGGTGTAAGTGCACATATGATACAACAATTAAAAAAACCAAACTTACGCGTCTATGTGCTTTCTAATATCCAAATCATTTGGTTTCTTGTGTAATGAACACAAGAGAATCACAACAAATTGCCGAGGAACAATGATTATGAGCTGCCAATGACCCCTGCACGTTGAAATAATATTAGTAAAATTTCAGTTTTACATAAATGTGCATTAATTTATAAGATGTATACTTACTGATGCAAGTAAGGTGCTAAGTAGACTTCTTTGCCCCCATTTTGAAATGTCTCTATTAAGTACGTTTGCACCTCTTCAGCTTTATTCCCAATGGACTGAATGGCAACAGGGTCAACAAATCCATAGATAAAGGCAATCTTCCTCTCAACACACAAACGATGTAAATACCTTCAACATTGAAAATAAATAAAGTTATAAAATAATGTACCAGTGAGAATATAAAAAATATGTAAATATACTTACAATTCCCAAAGCTGCAACACTGATACACATAGCATATCAGTACCAGCGAGAAGATAAAAAATATCCCTTTGGAGTAAGAAAAAAGGGATCGTCTGGGTCCTGCATATGACTTCGGGTGGCATATCTAACTGTATGGGAGTGGTCCCAATAGTTGCTGCTAGTGCACCGAGTCGCTGTAAAGCAGTCGGTGGTGGTGGTGATTCATGCACAACTTCCTTTGCTTTTTCAGCCTCTTTCTATACAAGTACCAAAAATAAATAACATTAATATACATCAACCTATCAAAAAATAATAAGTAAAAGGGATAAATGCATGACACAACTTGTGAATGTGTTGGGATGGGTCTTGTTAATGAAACTGGCCATAAGATAAAATTTCCAGGTGTCTGTCCCACTGTTTGAACCTCTTCAGTGGGAATAGGGATTGGGGTAGCAGCATCCCGAACATCTACAACCACCACTCTTATCATATCATGTCCAATACTCTGGTGGTGGATGGTTGACCCCAATGCATACATTTTCCCTAAGGTAAACAAATGATAAAATATTTTAGACTATATAATGCTTAACAGTGTACCAAATACATGTCAAAGATATAATACGTACCGTATGCCACCAAATGCTCGGGAGGACCCGCAACATACAACTCACAGTCAGCAGTGTCAGTAGGAGCAACCTCTGCCCCTCTATCAGGAGCATCACAACTCTCCTTTGTGCTGACATGAATCGGGGATGCCTCTCGTGCGGGGACAGAAGGTTGAGAGGACAAAGATGCCAACTTTGCTCGCATTGAGCTCAATAACTCTACCTTCAAGTCAGAGTACACCTCATCTCGAATCTCCTTCCTAATTTGTTGTTTGAGGGACTCAAACTCCAACTCACTCAGATGCCTCAAAGTAGGAGTTGCAACGGGTGGGGCACCAAAGTACTGTCTGATGCCCACCCCTCGTCCAGCAGCACGAACACGTCCAGGATGCTCTGGGGTACCAATGACCACTGCCAATATATCCTGACGGCCATGTGGGTGGAATGATCCCTGAGTGCTCTGCTCAACCAACTCATCCTACAACACAAAGGAAGGATTTTTTAGCAAATACATATGCTTATTGTAGTATACCATATATAATTAGTTTAGGATATGCTACTTACAATACGTTGAGCTACAACATTAGTTTGCTCAGATAAGTAATTCCCTGATGAGTTCTGGCGAGCTCTCTTCCATTTATCATGGCGTGAAGGGCGAGTGACAACACTCACAACCGACTCATCTGAAGGATGACTTGAAGATGTCTCCTTCATCATCTTCTCCTCCAATTTTTCATAACCCCCACGAGACAACCTGTGGGGGTGGATATTCTTTCTCTCGAATATCCTGTGCCTTCTGCCGCTTGGCCTGTTGCATTCCATGTTAAATACCAGATTTAAAACCTCTATTTAAAAAAAATGACTGCAAACAAATGACAAATGTGCTAACCTGAAACTTAGCGTCTAAACGCCGAGTCCGAAATGTCTCGCCATGTCTCCTCATCCAAAAACTGATACTCGGTCACATGGGTTCTTGTTGCTCAATGCCCCATATATGTATCGACTAGTCAGATCACTCTTAAAAACTCTCCAGCGTTCCCCAGCATATGAGATCCACTTTGTCCTCAACAAAGTGGTGTTAGGGACATCATATGTGACCTACACAATAAAAATAACATGAAGTTCCCAAAAAGTTAAATATATATACATGTTAAATGCTCAATAAGAGTAGGTACCAGGATACTCTACCAAATCTGCGTCTTCGGTGTCTCCGGAACATGGTCCCAATCCTCAATAAGAATACTAACCTTGCTTCTCCCAAGCAAGGCCACATAGCTAGTGAATCTAGCACTGTCCTCTCCTGTGGCTCTACCTGTTTGCATGTCAAACTGGATAGGCAATTTCCGATCGGAGCTACGGCCGATATTCAAGTCCCTCAACCGTGTAGCACGCCTACCCTTTTCCCGGTAGACGGCTGACTCGATCACCACCTTGTGTAGGAGGGGGACTGTGTAGGAGGAGGGGTACCAGATGAATCTGCCATATCTGTGTTCAAAGAAAAAAATAATAGTTATTAATTTAGACAATATGGCTGAAGATAAACAAAAAAGTGCATACATTAAAAAATAATACATTAAAAAAAGTGCATACATTATCAAGTTGGAACATTCTCCCAAAATCCTTCCATATGGTCATAACGTGTGGCATGCACATCATCTATTTCTACATTAACACTCAAGTTTGGCATATTTGAAGAGAAACATGGTGTCTCTAGTATATCAAGTACTAATTCATCATTCTCATGAGAAGTATACATGGGTTTTCCTTGTAGAACCACTGACCATCCATTGTTAGCGGGATCAGTGACATAAAACACTTGTTTTGCCTGAGATGCCATGATAAATGGTTCTTCGGTATAATGAGTATTTTCAAGGTTAACCAAGGTAAATCCAAGATCTTCGGTGAAGATGCCAGTATTAAAATCAACCCACTTACATTTAAAGATAGGTACTCTGAATATCGTGTAATCTATTACCCAAATCTCTTCAATTACACCAAAGTAGCCCATTGACGCCGTTATCGGATATTTATCCTTTGAACTCGAGAAATGCATTGATTCAGCCACCACCATGACTCCACTATTTTGCATTGTGCTTATTTCATCTTCTCCCTTTGTATAAAATGAATAGTTATTTATATCATACCCACCCCAACATATCACATCAAAGTTTGGCTCACATGCTAGCCACTTTAGTGTATCAGAAGTTGTATTGTCACCTTCAACTTGTTGTTTAAACCACTTTAAAAAGCTCTTGTTGTGTTCAGTGATCACCCACTTTTTAGGCATACGTGGATTATTTCGCTTCACAATGTCTTTATGAGCACTTAAGTAGGGGATGACTTCTTCACTGTTATTCAATATGTACAAATGCACTTGTAGACCCCTAATTTTGCCCGGCCTCTCAATAAAAGCTAGGGAAACTTCACACGAAGATAAAGATCGCCCAACTAATCAATAAACACTAAGAAGACCTCCCACAACCACACGGAGTTCATCCAATTTCTCGACAAAGGCCAAAGAGACCTCCTATAACAAAGATAAAAGTTCGTCCGGCATCTCAATAAGGGTCAAGAAGACTTCCTATAAGAAGATCAAGCTTCAACGGACACCTATCGGCATCAACCAACGTCCGAAAAAAGCAAGGAAAGCTTCCCGGGGTCCCAGAACGCAAAAACTGAACAAAACAGGTCGAGACCCCCGTCCCAGAGTTGGGATG